GGCATTTGAACCTGACAAGTAGGTGGATAAACTTGAATATGATTTGCCGCAGGCTTGACTAAACATACACACGTATGTACCTACATATGTATGGGTGTATAAATCAAGATTGACTTATTCCACCCTCTCCAATTCAACTGCATACTTTTGCCCTACGTTTGTTTGTGTACGTGCGGCACAAAAGGTATAAGAAACGGCTAAGACTCTGTAGCCAATTGTAGTCTAATTTGAATTTCAATAAAGGCAAGGGAAACCATGGATGGTTGGCTGCATGGAGAGTTGGAGAGTCTGTGCTACACACAAACACATACATATAATATGAATAAATAATAAATATATGTAGATGGTTGGAGGCGTGTTAAAGGAGGTTGTACTTGGGTGCAGGTGTGATTTATTTTTATTTACATAAATATATGTATTTACATTTTGGAAGGCGGAATTATAGAGACATCAATCGTTTAAATTTTCATTTTGATTAATTGAATATATAAAGAAAAAAAAATGAATGCTTTTAACAATTACTTTTAGAGTTAATTTTGCACGTTAGTGCGGTGACCTTTATTTCCAACAATAATTCCAATAACATTTTAATATTTTTTCCAATATTTTGTTGCTATTTGTTATTATTTTATTTTTATTTTTTTTTTAACTTACGGTATATTGTTGCTTTCAGCATTTCTTATGGTTCTTTGGCGTAGCATAAATTTTATTTTTGTTGTAATTGACATGTTAAATTTTTTGTTATTATTGTCATTGCGTAGGTGCGCGATTGATTTGTATCTTGAAGTTACCGCTAAGCGATTTTCATTGTTAAATATTTTAGCGGCAAGCGCTCCTCTATCGCCTTTGATTTTTTGCCAATTTTTTTTAAAAATTTTTTTTTATTTAAGGAATAATGTACTAATATGTATAATTTTATATGCTTTATTATGTTTGAAATATGCCGAGTTTCTATGACAACTGCGATGTGTCAAAATCATTTCCAAGTCTCCTCTAGGCTACTTAAGTTCAAATCATAAAGTGTACTAGATGATCAGCTTGCTCAACAAATTTGCCAAACTGGTGTATTTGGCCGTCCAGTGCAATCTGAGGAAGAAAGGTTCGGAAACCCGACATGAAGATATTAAAAATTTCATCTCAAGGAGTGGCTGGTTTTTCTTCGAAAGCGAGGAAGGAGCTATAACCATCGTCAATGCTGTGACTTTCTCAAAGATTATGTGTTTCGAAGTAATAATTAAACTAAAATGGACAATGTGTGATTTCAACCGGATGGAGCTAAGTGTGACTCAGCCAACCCTCTAATCAGTCTTGAACGATTTTACTCCGTTGGACTATTTCTAGTGGGGAGTCATTAAGAATAAATAATACGCCAACTCCTAAGAGGCCACTCAAGAGATTCAAGTCATAAAGAGCCACTCAATCGAGACTGTATTGCAGGGTTGGGCTAAAATAAACAGTGCTGAATGGGCTCCTGCAAGGATAGCACCGGTAGTCATAGGTATGAAGTGCAATTTTGTCAACAACTTGTCGAGGTATTTCAATGACAATAGACAACTTTTATGCATCTTATTTTAATACAATTTTAAAATGAAAATTTTTCATGGCCGAACCATTATTTAAAAGAGTAATGGGAGAAACTCTTGCTGAGCTGCTATTGGTGTTTCCAGATTGACCTGTCTGATAAAAATGCGTTTCAAGACAAAATAAATTTCTTTTACTCTACGCAGACGTTCGACTTTTTGCTCACGATTTCTTTTTAAGGATTTTAATGTTATTGGGACTCAGTACCTCACTTAGACGAATTTTTTAGCCTTCGACAATTTCCTCATTATTTAATTATTACTTTTTCCATGAACTAACTTTTAAGAATTATTCGGCGATTAATCCTCAACTTTACTTTTTGAGTAGTCGAATTTCCTTATAATATGTAAAGCGTCTGGTACTCAATTAACCGCAACTTAATTCGCTGGTGGTTCATGCTAAACACTCTTAATCATGGTTACATCGTAACGATAAATTTCGTGTATAAAAGATTTAAATCCTTTTGGTTGAAACAATTGGATATGTTATCATTAAAAAATTTTATCAAAATAAATTTTATTTCGCTTTTATCCCAAACGAATGGGTGTAGTAGTTGTTAAATAACTAACAGAAAATGTTAAATAGTTAACAGATAATGTTAAATCGCTAACAGATAAAGTTAAATAGTTACTAGATAACGGTCAATAGTTAACAGTTAATATTCAATAGCTAACAGATAATGTTAAAAGTACGACAGATACTTCTAAATCGTTAACAGATAACGTTAAATCGTTAACAGATAACGTTAAATAGTTAGCAGATAATGTTAAATAGTTAACATATAATGTTAAATAGTTAACATATAATGTTAAATAGTTAACATATAATGTTAAGTAGTTAACAGATAATGTTCAATAGTTAACAGATAATGTTAAATGATTAAAAGATAATGGAAAATCGTTAACATGTAATGTTAAATTATTAAAAGATAGTGATAAAAAGTTAACAGATAATGTTAAATGTATTACAGATACTGTCCAATCGTTAACAGATAATATTAAATAGCTAACAGTCAATGTTTAATCGTTTACAGATAATGTTAAATAGTTAACATTTAAAGTTAAATAGATTACAGATAAGGTTAAATAATTAACAGATAATCTAAAGGATTAACTGATAGTGTTAAATCGTTAACAGCAACAGATTATATGCCGTTTTAACGAGATCAATTCCAAGCAACTTTTCAAAAATTAACTTCTTATTTCACAACTCAATAGCACTAAGCAGTGCTGAGCTCAAGAGACACACCACACGAAAAACAACATTTGCTGCCAAATATATATGTATGTATGTAAATAAATATGCAATTCACCCTCGATCTGATGAATTTATTAGTGAAATATAATTTCAGCTCCTACAGTGAACGCCAAGAGAATTCACAGTAGGCCCAAGGGAAGCCTAAAAAGCTGCCAGAAACACACGCTTGATAAGCAACTGTGAAAAGGTATTGAAATGGGAATTATGATTTAGTAATATTTTCGAGTGCATGTGAATGTACAAACAAACACACGTCGAATTGAATACAGATGAATTATGTTGAAACTTTAATTTCAGTGCCTGCGTTAAGGTATTTATGCAGGTATGTACATATGTATGTAGAAGCGTGCGTTGGAATAGTGGCTGGCGTTTTCGATATTCACACATTAATGAGCTGACACAAAAGTACAAATTGCATAATAAAAACGCTGGCAAACATAAATTAATATTTGTAACAGCTTTTGTGTGTATATACTCGTATACATATATACCTGTGTGTGTGTTTGCATATTGCCTAAATATGAGCGCATAAATAAAAGAAAATTATTACATTTTCATAAACCACAATCAAACACCAATTGCAGGCATCGATACCATTGATTATCAACCCATTGAGGCACCCAACCAGCCACTCAGCCACTCAGTCACTCAGTCGGTCATTCAGCTGGGCAACCAACCCACACAGGCACACATATGCTTGCTTACACGCATGCCCAATCAATGCTTGCACATAACACACACTTTGTGGTCATAACTCAAAGATTATTATTAGAGATTTCAAATCTTTTTTGTTTTGTTTTGTTTTGTTAGATGACTTTGGCTGTAGCTCCAGCGGGTTTGAGGGGGACCACATGGGGTGTATACAATAAATTGGAATTTAATCATAATTTCGACAATCCAACACCAAGCGTGGTATATATACATATGTATGTATGTGCATATATAATATATGTACTTGCATGAGTCAAAAAGCTGACAATAACAGTAAATTCAAAAACAACACAGTCCAATCAACCATGCTATCAGCCTCTGCCAATGATTGCTGCTGCTAACCACTGAGTTGCCACAAATTTGATTTTGGCATTTCGATTTATTAATGTATTTCGCAGGCAAACATTTTTGTGGGCTCACTTTTGTTATGAACCGACCACATGTTTCTCTAACACTTGTAGTGCCCCACTTGCCACTTTTCTGTTACACACAGTCATACAGACAAACATATGTTTAATTAATTGCTTGCCTTGTATGTTGATTTCTGCGGTTCGCCAATTTATTTGTTTGATTATATGGTTTTGGTGCTTTTTGGCCTTATCCACACATACATAAGTATATTTTTTCTACTATTTTCGATTTATTCACACTTTGAATTCCCAAAATTAATGCTTTGATTTTATTAAACAATATTTTTTTTCTATTTGCTTTTCTAGCTTTTAATTAGAGGTTACGCAAATTATTGTGTACTTTGACTTTTGTGGAAATTTTCATGATAACATTTTTAATAAAATAAAATAAAATAAAATAAAATAAAATAAAATAAAATAAAATAAAATAAAATAAAATAAATTAAAATAAAATAAAATAAAATAAAATAAAATAAAAATCATAAGAAACATAAATAAAATATATGAAGATTGAACAAAATGAAATGAAATAAAGTAATATATATTAAAATGAAAAAAAATTTAAATTAAATTAAAAATAGAACAAATTACCGAATATAAAATAAATCAAAACAAAATAAGATTAAATAAAAAAATCAATTAAAATAAGATAAAATTAAACTAAATAAAATTAACTATAAAACGAAAAATATATAATCAAATTTAAATAAAATACAAATTAAATTAAATTAAACAAAACAACATTAAGTAAAAAAAATTAATATAAAATATAAAAAATTAAATAAAATAATATAAGATTATATTGAATATAAAAGAAGAAAAAAAAGTAATGAAATAAATAAATAATGAAGCAATGTTGATTCCGATTTAAAGGGACGAAAACCGTATTATGAAAGAATTTATGTATTATGTTTTTCTTGATTTCTCCCTAATTCAATCTGTATTTAATTTATTTATCCAATCTTTGAAAACTCATACCTTGCATTTTTTTTATTTAGTCTGTAAATTAAAATATTTCTGCCATTATGGCGTTCAACTTACCTTCACCTCGTGTATAAAATCCGTTTCGTCCAGCAGATTGATGCGCACGGACATAATCCGCGATGGTCGGCAGAGGCAATTCATTTTGCTGCTGCTGCTAGTCCGCTGCTATTTTATACAAAAACACTTGGGAAGCATATGCACAGCAGGCATTTGTTGTTAAATTGGCATTAAATGAACACGTTTGATTAACGGTTATTTTAATGTTGCTTTTAAGCTCTACACACACATTCACATGCGTTTATTGACTTTTAGCAAAATTGTTTTTTACACTTAATTATATACTTAACTCTATAAATGTATAGCACATTTTCATATATACATATGAGCAGATATATATGTGTTCTTAGAACTTTATTATTATTATGTTTTCAACTTTTTATTTTTTTAATTATTCGCTTTAGATTAAATTTTTAATTTTCTATAAACTGGTGTTTATCCCGTTTTTCTTTTTTTCATCGACTTTAAATGCCTCGTGGTGTTGCATCTGAAAGTAAATTTAATAAAGAAATTGAAAATTAGAGTTGATTTTTGATTCGTGTGTGAATGGGATCTTTACATAGCAAAAAAATATAAGTAAATTTCCATAGAATATTAAGTACATTTACAATATCTTTAATGTATACATCATAATATGTATGAGATTGGTAATGCATGGTGAACAGTCTTAATTAAACTTCAAACAAATCTGTGTATGATCCATTTCCTGGAAATAAAGAATGTACAAAATTTTACATTAATCGGACTGAAATTATACTTTTATCGAAAAGGTAGGTCCTTGATCTGCTTCCCGGAAAAAAGTAAACCTAAACCATTCTAGAATTCACTTGAGTACACATAAGAATTTTTTCAAAATCTGTTCAGTGGCATAAAAGTATTAAATACAATTTGTGATGTTTTTCTGATAAAAAGCTCCCCATATACAATTCTCAAGTAAATCGATCCACAAATATAATTTTCTCGGAATATTTTGGTCCCGGATGTAAAGGGCAAAAATTTATTCAAAATCATTCTCAAATCCGCTTAAGCACACACACATACGTTTATACGCAATTTTATCAATTGTAATCCAACGAACTTGCTGTGAAAGACTCCGGCATGCGGCTAGCGAAGCCCAGCTAAAGTCCGATTTCATTCCGAATTTAGTTTCGGTGTTTGTGTTGCAACCAAAAACAAATAGTCTCCAAATTGGTTTACGAAGTACGAGTACATTTCGGGAGGACCAGTCGTTTGGCAAAAAAAATAAAAAAAACCCTCCGATATTGATTGGCGATATCGGACCAAAATCTCCATCACCTACCTTATAATTTTAACTGCAGTCAGTTTATGCGACATAAATCACATTAGTGAGTTTGCAATTAGAACGAGGTCTGTTTGGGGTCCAGTCTCCCGCCAGTTGAAAGGTACTCTTTGAGATTTATTATGAAGTAGGCACAAGAAGCCTATCTGCTGCACAACAATGCCAGATGCCAATGCCATACACGGCCAACACCACGAATAGAATGTTCTGGTGCGCATTCGCCTGATCTAGCATCTTCAGATTATTATCTCTTTACCTCATTGTAGTTGCACTTGGATGGTAAAAAGGTTTCAATCGACGATGATATAAAGGAGGAGACTTTACTGAAGACTAAAGGATGGTAAACATCAGGGTGAGCCATTTATGTGTCCAATCGGCCGAACCAAAACGTGAAATTATCTGCTCACCGAAGTGCTCTCTCAATGAATTCATTCATTGATGCAATGTGTGGGAAGTGGCGCCGTTTTGTTGAAACCAAATGTTGCCGAGATCACGAATCTCAATTTCCAGTACGTTCTCAACGGCATCATATTGGAATAACTATGGATCGATGATTCCACGAGCCACAAACCACATCCAACCTTTGTTTTTTCTGGATGAAATGGCAGCTCTTAAATCTCATTAGGTTTTTTTTCTAATTGCAGCTATTTTGCTTTTGGACATACCTACTTAGTCAGAAGAGACCACCGTCGTTGAAGAAATTTGTCTCGAAAACATAGCCTCTTTTTGGATCTTTTCTAGAACCTATTGAACGGAGCAATGTCGCTTGGGTAGGTCGAGCGGCTTCAGTTCTTGCACAAGCTGTATTATGTACGCTTTCAATTTAAAATCTTGACGTAGAATGTGCCAAGTCATTCCATACGACGGTCCGAGTTGCTGCGAACAGCGCCGAATTGACTCTCCGCAGTCGTCGTGTACACTCTTAGCTTCAGCCGCTGTTCGTTGTCTATTCGGTCGAATATTATCAAATAATAAATGCTGGGTGTCAAGATGCAAAAAGTATGCTTAATAGACCGATTATGTTGACCATAAGTTGAGCGAATCCACGAGACTCATTCTTTACAGAACGTGAATTTGCGTAATAAAGTTGCACGATTTGTAAAATTTGTTCAAGCGTAAGCCTTCCCATTATGAAATGGCAAACAATACAAGACAAAAATTAGATGACAGCTTGAGTCGACTCAAGCGTGAATTGGATCCCCCGTTAAATGCAATATTATAGATTAGTATAGATATATACTGATATATAAATCAGTATTCAATTTGTATTCAAACACTATATTAGCTAAATGACGAATTTGCTGGTAGTACAAGATAGAAGGGATACACTGCAGGGAATAGCCAAACCAGTATACAAAAATTCTAGTTAAATATTATGGTTTTAAAGATTTTACCAGTGATGGGAATACAAATAATTGACAATATCACGCCACTGCCATGTTACATTAATTTCTAACAAGCCACGAATATTCTTTAAACTGTCACCATAGGTAAGCCTGTCTGCTCTTGAGATTAACTCTCTAAATTTCCCTAAAGGAAAAGCTCATTTTTTATTTAATTTTTTTTGTGATATAGAAATTCAACATGCCTAAGTAAACTAGTATGTAACTAGTATTCAGCTGATGCATAGCAGAATAATTGCCAGTTCATGATGGGATATCATTTACAAAGATGTACTGGTTAATGCAAAAATGTAGTTAAATTGGATTCTAGTTAACAGCTAAAGGGTGGTTTTTTAGCTATTATCTTTTTGGCAACACTGTCTTAAGCAGCTGACGCACGTTTCGTGTTTTGTTTCACCGACAAACATCTTCAGTTTGGTCTATAATTTAAAAAAAAAATAATAATTATGTTCAGCGACGAAGCTCATTTTGGGCTTAATGAGTGCCTAAATAAGCAGAATTGTCGATTTCGGAGTGGAGATCAGCCAAAGACATTGCAAGAGCTACCAATGCAACCAGAACAAGTCACAATCTGGTGCGGTTTATGGGCTGGTGGCATCATTTGACCGTCGTAATTCTTCAAAGATGATGCGAATCGTAACGTAACTGTGAATAGTGACCGCTACCGTGAGATGATATCAAACTTTTTTTGGCCCAAAATACAAGAGCTCGGCTGCCACGACGGAGAGGTGAGTTCGGTGAACATTTATTTCACGTTCGGGAACGGTGAATAAGCCGCCTAGAACGTGCGATTTTACGCCTTCAGACTATATTTGGTGGGGCCACTTGAAATCTAATGGCTATACAGACAAGCCCGCTACGGTTCACGCATTCGAGGACAACATTGAAGCATTTATGCGTGAGGTATCGGCCGAATTGTTGGAAATATATGCCAAAATAGGACTAATCGGATGGACCATTTGAGGCGCAGTCACGGTCAACGTTTGTACGAAATAATCTTCAAACATTAAACATTTTTTGAAAGACCTTCCTATAGCTCTCAAAAAATCACACTTTAGTATATTTTCCTGCCGCGTAGTTATCAAGATTCTTTAACGAACTTAATTATTCTCAAAGAGCGGAAAATGTTTGCCACAAAGTCGGGCTGTTTTTTTTTATTTTTATTTTTTTTGTTTTTTTTTATTTTTTTTTTTTTTTTTTGCTTTTGATAATAATCAAAATAAATTGCTGAAATATAATAGCTTGCAAATAACATTAAATTTTTTATTCAGTTATTTAATGATTTCCGCAAAACTATTTCTTCAATGGCAAATTCATGCAACCAACCAACCAAACAACCGATCAAGGCTTGACCGAACCCATAAAAAATTTGCAAAAAAAAAAAAAAAAATTTAACTAAAATTCTTTATTGCCACAAGCGTGCGCAAATCAAAACTTTATTAGGTAAGCATGTCCAAGGAGCTGCATGCATACATAATATATGTAAAATGGTAATATGCATGTAAGTTGTCAAATGTAGAACGTTGTTAAAAAAAATTTACAAGAATTTTCTCACCCAACCCAGAAAAGGCGCTTAACCATTATTATTTGTTTTTGTACAATACAAATGAGTGTTAATAATATATATTTATTATGAAGTCTCTAAATGTATGTGTGTGTGTGTGTGTGTGTGTGTGTTTGTAAGACTCTAAGTTGGGCGTAAGTATTATAAATTAAGACTATTATAATTTCAATGTAAGCTTTTTGTTGATTTTTTTTATACGTAAAACGAAGGCTGTTAAGCGCTTTTAATAATTTAAAAATATTTTATTTCATTCATCTGCGGCATTACTGATCAGTTGGCGTGCGAAATGCAAAAATATGTTGTTTATTTATTTTTATTTTTATTTTTATTTTTTAATACTGCTTGATTATATGCGTTTAATTGTGTTATTTAATTTCATTTTTTTTTTTTTAATAATTCATTTATGTTTTTTTTTATTCTATTCTAATTTTTTTCCGCTTTTTTCTCTTATTATTAACATTTTATTTGCGCAGCCAGCGCGCGTGAGAAAAATTTGCAAACAATTGTTGGCATGAGAATTTCACAGCTCGCTGCTTGTGGTGCCAACTAGCTAGTTGGCTGTATGTACATATGTTTGTATGTATGTATGTATGGGTATATGCATTTGGTAAGTATGGTGAACCACTCATAAGTGTATGCATGCATAGTTAGTTATAAGCATGCTTGAAGGTATGTTCAGCAAATATTTGCTATTACTGCCGGCATTACGATATAAAAATTATATATATACACGTATATACATATATGCATACACAGTTGTATGTAAATTTATTTTTATTGTGTATTTACCATAAGTAAGAATTGAGTGTGGCAGTCATCACAGCATCACGTTAACTGGTGCATGCCACACTCAACGTCAAATTTATGCGCACTTGCCACTTGCAACATGAGACTTTTCTTATACGCGAGCAAGTCTATGCTACTACACACTTGCGCTACGAACGTTGAGAGAGAGAGAGCTTAATCTGTGCTGGGCTTTCTTGTCGCGGATTAAGCAGCGGCAGCTATTTGGTTGAAGTAATTTTATTTTGCGAACGTAAGCTCAAGCAAGCAAGCAATGAGTGTAGAAATTACTATACAACAAGAACAACAAGAACAACAAGAATAACAATAGCAGCAATAGTAATCCACTGACTTGTATTATTTATTACTCGTACCGTACTCGCTCATGCTATTTTAACGGCGAAAATAGTAAGAAAGTTGTTGTAGAAAAAGTTAAT